GAGTAGGTCCCGTCCGAGCAGGGGAGCGGGGCTCTCAGGGACGACCAAGAAGGAGTGTGTGACCTGGTGTTTTCCTAAGTTCACCTTTCTTTTGGTAGTCCATGTACATAACTGCGTACCGGTGGCCCCCTGAACAACACTTGTTCGTGCCTTGTTCAAAGGTCCATGTGCCTTGTTTAAAACCGAATATTGGGCGCCGGTATCCACCATGAACCCCATCGGCTTCCCCTCCACATGCATTGTTACCCAGGACTCGGGGAGGGGGTCTGAGCCCCGTCTCCTTCAGTCCTCTTCTCCGGCTAGGAGGACTCTGGCCTGCTCTACTGCTCGTTCCCTTTCCCTGTTTTCCCCCGGTCTCCTTCCAAACCCTCTTCTTCCCTTTAACTTAGGACATTCTCTCTTCCAATGCCCCGTTTCCTTACAGTAAAAACAGTGTTCCTTATCCGGGGTCCTGGCGTGGCCCCCTCCCCTGGGTTGGTCCCGGACACCCGCTAGGAAAATACGAGCCATTTCTCTCTGTTGCTTTCGGTTTTCCTTAGCCTGGAACTCCCGGTCCTCCTTTCTCAATTTCTCCTGGGCCTCCCTGTCTTCCTTTCTCTGTCTTTCCTCCCTTTCTTCTGGAGTTTCCCTAGCGGTAAAGACCTTTTCCGCTACCTGTAGCATTTCCCTTATAGTCATCTCCCCTAAGTTTTCCTGTTTATTGAGTTTTCTCCTAATGTCTGGAGCTGCCTGATTAATGAATGAGAGTACCACAGCAGACCGGTGGAGGTCCGCCTCAGGGTCAATAGGGGTGTACTGACGGTATGCCTCATAGAGGCGCTCTAAGAAACCGGCTGGGCTTTCGTTTTCCCTTGAACGACTGCTTTCACTTTTGCAAAATTGGTGGGCCTTCTAGCGGCCGCTCGGAGACCGGCCATAAGAGTCTGGCGGTAGATCCAGAGACGCTCCCTACCTTCTGCGGTCCCGAAATCCCAATCAGGGCGGCGTAGGGGAAAAGCCTCGTCTATGGCCGGTTGGAGAGTTGTGGGTCTCCCATTATCCCCCAAGACGTTCTTCCTCGCTTCGTTGAGGATGCGCTCTCGTTCCTCCGTCGTAAAAAGAGTATTGAGCAGCTGATGACAGTCATCCCAAGTGGGACGGTGTGTATGCATGATGGACTCCAGGAGATCTATGAGACACTTGGGGTCTTCAGAAAAGGGTGGGTTCTGCGTCCTCCAGTTATATAGATCACTGGAGGAGAAGGGCCAGTACTGAAACTGTTGCCCTCCTCCCGGTCCCCCTTGGCCCACCATCCGGACTGGAAGTGTAGGGACAGTTTCCTCCCCCTGTGTTGATGAGGGGGCCCGTCTTCCCCCTCCCTTTCCCGGATCCCTCGGGGCGAAGTCTTCGACCCATTCCTCCTCCTGCTGCCAGTCCTGTTGAGGAGGATGAGGAAATTTCCTCCTCCGGGGCACTGGCTTGGCCAGGGGAGTCACGTATGGAGGCGGCCGATCTTCCTCTGCCCCTGCGAGGGATGGGTAAAGGGGGGAACTCTCTGGTAAGACCGGAGATGGTGAAGGAGATGCCCTAATTTGAGGACCGGTCAAGGTGGGAAGAGGAAGTTTTTCCTCCTCCTTTATGACCAAGGCGGGCGTGACTGGGGTTTTAGCCCCGGGGCCGAACTGGAGGGGTGGGTCAGAAAAACTGTTAACCAAGGGGGAGGGTTCCTCACCAGATCCTCCCAAACCAAAATGTAAGGAACTTGGTCTGGATGGCCTCGATTGTCTGGCTGAAAAATGACTGCTTTAACCTTAGTGATCAGGTCTAGGGAGAGGGAACCTTGAATGGGCCACCCGACTCCAAAGGTGGGCCACTCTGCAGAACAAAAGGTGTCGAACTTACCTTTCTTGATGACCAGACCCGCATTTAAGGCCCTTTCTTTAACTTCTGGAAAGTGAGAAAGGATCAGAGACTTTGGGGTTGTTTGTCCCTGTCCCATTGTGGAAGGAGACTCAAACACCAAGAGAGATAGAACAAAAAGGGTAAAGGCAACAATAATTCCACACACACACAACACTCTCCAGCACTCGCTCGGACCGGTCCTTCTCTCACACTGGTGCGCACCCCATTCAACCTCCTCACCGTCCAACTGGGATATCAGGCCGAAAGGCGTCCACTTGACGGGTGGTCGGTCGACTAGCTCAATTAGTTCTTCACCTGGCGCCAGGGTTCCTAAAATGCTCGAGCCCAAATGAGAGGAAAGCCTCTCCCAATAGGACCCTGTGGTCCTCCTTGCGAGATTCCCAGAATGAATCTCCCTGGGGATTGGCCGAATCCCCGCCGCGGCCCAAATGGAACACTCAAGTTCCTCCAAATGAGGGTCTGGGATCCCCTCCCAACGCCTAGGACTTGGGATCGCCCCTGCTTTCTCGCAGGCAGGTTCTGTCTCTCGAGAAAATGAAATCTCGGTGGGACCTCCAAATGTTAGGACCCGGAATCCTATTCCCCCGAGAGACAGAGAGCCAGGCGTGAATGCAATCAACAAAGCAGAGTTTATTGGGCTGGCTAGCCAGGGTCGAGCTCCCACACGGACACGCAGGACCGGTTAGGAAAACACGACCCTGAGCCTCTTTAGGGGAAATCTTATATAGACCGCGGTGGCATGCATATTTTCGTTATCAACATTGGGCAAGCAGGCAGAGCACATCTTGCGCGTACCTCACATCTTGCACGTACTCCCCGCTCACATTCCCCACATTCTATATGCCCTAACTGAGCCCTGCCGCATTGCTTATCTTATCTACATGGGATGTTTGGTACTGGTTTCTCCAACAAGGGGGTTGGGGCCCGCTGAGACCTCCTATTCCTTTCACCAGTAAATAGCCTAACAGAATAATCATTAAAGTTATTTATAACCATGTTATTTTAATGGTATTTAATCTAGAAATTATTCATTGAGGTAGGGGCTCAAATGTTTGAGAAAATGTTTTTAGATTAATTTCTTATACTACACAGCATGTGTTTTGCTAACAAATGGGAAAAAATGTTTCAGTGGTCTAAATTTTAGAAATAAATATACCAACAATTCTAAAACTCATTTATATTGCCCTTGGTGATGGGCATTTCCAAATCAATGACAATTTTTAAATCAAAAGTTTGGTGGCAAGAGATATTTTTCAAAAAAGGATGAGCTTTAGATTTGAAGTCACGAGATTCTGGCTGTAGTCCCAACTCTATAATTGTTAGCTGAGTGCTACTGAGCAATTAAGTTAACTTTCTGGCCCTCAGCGTTCCCTCTCTAAAGTGGATTGTGTGAGATGTTTTCAGGAGCCTCCTAGTACTAGTATCCTTTGATGAGTGTAGAATGTTAAGCAACATTCAGACAGATTTACTTTTAAAGCTACATTTTGTTTGCAAAACACTTCTCAGAATGACTAAATCTTTATCTTGGGACATTTCAACAGTATTGCTAGAGCTAAAATAAAACAAGGAAGCAAAATAGTATCTACTGGTTAGAATAAGTATTTACTTTTGTATTGCCCAATAAGTCCCTTGAGAGCTGTCAATAAAGGTACTCTGAGGGCATAACATTTCATTTCTTGCCTTTGTTCCTTTGGTTGTAGTCTGAAAAGGGATGGCAAATTCATGCCTCTTCTTTAATTGATGTTTCAGCTTTGTAGATTGCAATTTATTGACTTGGAGGCTCAACACTTCATAACCATCATACTAATGGCTAATAGAAAGGAAATGTTTGAAAACTGAAAGATGTAATTTTACTCTGGGAATTATACATATAAGCATTTAAAGCAATAAAGTATTTAGTTTTAGAACTATATGGAACTTTCATTCAACCCTACCATTTTCTAAAATGATGAAATGAAACCTAGAGAGAAGTGGTGATCAGGCTAAGATTATACCTTTACTAGTTTTAGAATGAGTAATGGAATGCAGGTCTCCAGAATGATGGGGAAAATGTCATGATCATACCTGATGTCTGCTTTTACCTTTTTAGCTTATTCACATATTGCTCATCAAAGGTATTTTCAGAGTGCGTATCTCCTCTTAAATGGTTCAACATTGGCATTGCCATTATGCTAACAATATAAATATGACACACATTCAATTAAATATCCTCAGTGGTGGATATTCTCAGATATTTGGATGGTAAAAGGATCTATTTTTCTAATTAGTAATTCTTTAGAAATATCTGTTAAAGACAACATTTCAAGGTGTATTAGTTGATCAGGAGGATGAATAAAGCAGCAAAATGATTTTGAGAATAGAGAAATAGCTGTTCCTTTGAGATAAGTATAGGAGATGATATCTTATTTTAACTCTATTCTGTTGCTGGTTATTTTGTGATACTGGAAAGGTAGCCTAACTTTTGACCAACTCTGTATTCTTCATAGAACTGGAAAAGTAATATACTAACCTTTATGTTTTCTGGAAAAATTGCCCTGAAAACTACAAATTGTTTGATGCTAAAAATACATTTGGAGTTATTTGAATTGGGATGGTAAATGATGAACACTTATCCCTAAATAAAATTTGGAACTTAGATTTTGGCCACAGTTACATACCTACTCATTTGAATTAAGTTCTGGGGAATAGAAAACAAAACTGACTTTATTTATTAATTTAAAATTTTTTGCCACAGATATAGAAATCAATTTTGTTCATTTTTATACTATTGGACTTGCATGGTGAATGCAAGTGGTTAAAACATTTAGGTAAGTTTGGTGGATGTTTTGTACTGACTTTCAGTGATAGTTATTCTCCCTTTCTCTTCTAATGAGCTGGCTTTTTTTTTGTTACAATAATGGTATGGTTTTCTTAGAAACACTCACTTACAGGCAGTTGTTTTGTCGGCTCCAGAGGTCTTGGTATGTTTAGTTGTTGAGAATTACTCATGTTTGTTTAGTACGTATTGAAAGACATTCTTGCAGCCTGTGCTGGGTACAGAATTTAATAAAAGCCCTTATTCCAGGAGCTTTACTGAGACTTTTGTGTTTAATCCACAGATTCAAAATGATCAGTGCCAGGAGATGGATACCACGACTGACAAGTGGGTAAAACTCACAGACAATGGAGAATGGGGCTCTCATTCTGTGAGTCTCCTTTTGTTTTTCCTTTTCCTTTCCCAACAATTCCATTCTCTTCTTTTCTTTTCCCAACACTTTCTAAGCATTCATTAAAAAAAAGAAAAATAACAAAATTATCTACTATTTTGGATAATTTTTATTTAAGGAAGAAATTGCCCCTGAATTTCATGGACTCAGATTATTTTTTAGGTTCTATTTTCCTACTTTTTCCTAGATTCCTTTCTCATTATATTCCAACTTTCTTTCATTTTAAAGGGGCATCAAAAGAAAAAGAAAGCCTTGGAAACAACTATGAAGTTTAAGTGCACAAGTTTAAAAATACACGTGTCACATGTGATAGAACCAGTGGCTCTTGTCAATGGAAAGCTCTTTGAATCTTTCATTCAGCTTTTTCTGAAGTGTCCCAAACAAGTGATTTTTAAGCTTATCTTGTTGAGCGCTGGACTGTCTCTATTGTGAGACAGCTCTGATTTTCACAAATTCATCCATGTTTGAGGCTCATCCTGCTTTCTATGCATTTGCTACCCATTGGTCAAAATTCTACAGTCTCTGGTCACATCAAGTACAATAACTACTTCTTCACATGACATCTGTTTAAATGCTTAAAGGCAGGACTATCAGATAACATGATTCAGCGAATCTGTTATTATTTGAGGCACTGTCTTTTTGGAGTGAGGCATGGATTTAGAATCTGGCACTGGCTTATACTTGTAATTTCTTTGGGTGATTTGCTTAATCCACTTGTCTGATTTTTTCATTTCAGAAATGGGAACAGTCCTCTGAATTAAATGAGATAATGTTTGGTAAGGGCCTAGTGTGGTACCTGTAATGAGGACTGAGTTCTGTTTCAATAGATGACCATCCATCTTTCCTTTGTGGTTGTAGTAGGGACTTATCCTTAAGTGATTAGCACAATGTGCCTTTCATAGTTTTTTTTTTTCATCTCTATGCTTGAAAGTAATATTAGTACCACTTATGATTCATTTGCCTAAGCATTCCACTCAGCTGGGCTTTGAAAATATGCTTTTGTCACTTGTGAGGACTTAGTACAAGGGGAAAGTGCTTAATGCACCACTTCTACAAATATCTGGCAAGATGAAATAGTTGGGTAGGTTTTAATTTTATATAAGTTGGATTTGATCATCTAGGCATTGCATAGAAAAATAAAAGGAGCAAAAAAGAAAGTAAGTAACTCTTAAAATTAGTTCACTTACATATATCAGCATGAAATTTATCAGAAAAAATTAGTTTGGTTTATAATTAGAAAAATGTTCCAGTAGCAAAGGAAGGAAGTACTAGATGTAATATCATTTAATTTCTGTACTCAGAGAGTTAAATCAAGTTATCTTGTCAGAACAGTCCTGTTTTCTCTTGTTGCTATTGCAGTATTGTTTACTAAATAATTTTTAAAAGAAGCTTTCTTATCCCATTTTCTGTTGCTATAACAAAATATATGAGGCTGGGTACTTTATAAAGAAATTAATTTTATTTAGCTCAGTTTGGGAGGTTTAAGAGCATGCATCAGTACCTGTTTGGCTCTGCCAGGATCATATCATAGTGGTGGGAGTGTGTGTGTGAGAATGAGTCAGGAAGTCAGAGATCCAAGGGAAGATCCAGGCTTGGTCTTTTATAACAATCCATTCTTGTAAGAACTAACTCCTTGAAACCAATGTTAATCTCTTCTAGGGCAGTGCTCCCAATGACCTAACTTCCTCCCACTAGCCCAGCCTCTTAAAAGTTCTACCATCTATTAATTCTGCCACACTGGGGATCAAGCTTCTAGCACATGAACCTTTAGGGAACACACTAAAACCATATCCAAACCATAGTGGAAGCACACTCATTTAGTGGCTCTGTTGTTTTCAGAGCTCAAAGATCTATTTATGAATAGTAGTAGCTTATCAATACTCAAGTGGGCTGGGTGACTTTTACCCTTTAACATGAATCCCTTTTATATAAAATAAGCATTTATGCAAATGATTTGCATGATTTATAGCTTATATATAGAAAATACTATGTGTGTGTGTATATGTATTTTAGAAAATATCAACTTCAGCACAGTGTAGGTTGGAATTAACAGGAGACTTAAATTTGTTGTTTATTTTGAAAAATGGTGTTTCATTTTGAGTATGATTGGAAATAGCATAGTTTGTTTTACTTGAGTGTCTTAGTTTCTTTTTTCAGGTAATGCTGAAATCTGGCACAAACATACTCTACTGGAGAACCACAGGCATCCTCATGGGTTCTAAGGCAGTTAAGCCTGTGCTGGTAAAAAATATCACAATTGAAGGTATTTCATAGCCATCAGTTTTACTAGTCACTTATCCAATTTTATTGTTACAATATTTAGTACAATGTTGATTTGTCTGGCTCAAGGTCTTATAGGGTGAGGAAAATATTAGGTATGGTTTATTTTTTCTTATATCCTTGAACTATGGTATATAATCTGGGTAAAGAAGTAAATGAACATGATTACAATTTTAGGTGTCTTTACAAAAATAGACATTTCTTTGTTAATAAGAGCCTATTTTTATTAAAGAAATGTACTGTGCCACAAATCAAGTTTGCTCAGAGATTTGATAATCTGGTCACTGCTAACTACATAAGGATAACACCACAACAGACATTTTGACCTAACTTTTTCTTAAACCTCTTGTGCCTGTCTGAACCAATTGGGTCACTTCTAGCTCGACTGAGCAACCAATAAACAGTGGCATGATTCATCTTCAACTACAGACACGTTTATTTAAAGTAGTGATTCTTCTTTATTAAAGTTTGTTTTATCTTTTTCTATGTTCTAAAGTGTGCTTATTCCAGTGACATTAATTCATTAATCATAGGGACATCTGCTGGTCAATGCTAGAATTACAAACCTTAAGATAAGTCAAGCCATTCCTAGGGTCTGTTAAGACTTACCTGTGACTTTTAATGAGCAGTGGACTAAAAGGGAACAAATAGCTAAAAAGACCAGAGACCAGGTCTTAGAGTTTATCCAATTTTTGATTTACTAGAGCTGTCTTTTTTTTGTGTGTGTGTAGTACTGGGGTTCAACTCAGGGCCTTGTGCAGGGCAAGCATTCTGCCACTTATAAGCCAGGGCCTCAGTCCTAGAGTTGTCTTTTGAGAACGCAGTTTCTATGTTTACTACACCTCTATCAACTCTCTTGTTTAAGTGTTTGCTATACTTACTGTGTCTAATGCAGTACATATTCTAGTTTCTTGCACACAGTAAATACTTTCTTAGTGCTAAATTAATGAAATTAATAAAGTTTGGGACTGAGTGTACTATTAATATTTCTTTCTCAGTTCTTTTTAGAAGCATATTGGCTTCTCCCTCTCATGTCCTATTTTCTCATTTCTGCACAGGGGTGGCGTATACATCAGAATGTTTTCCATGCAAGCCTGGTACCTTCAGCAACAAACCAGGATCATTCAATTGCCAAGTGTGTCCCCGAAACACCTATTCTGAGAAAGGGGCCAAAGAATGCATAAGGTGTAAAGAGGATTCTCAGTTTTCAGGTGAGGCTAGTTTACATTATTGGTTTCTTTGTAAGTTAGTATTGGTCAAGCTTACGTTCATGAGCTAAAAAAAAAAAAAAATGTGACTACAACAGTGGACCAGACATCAAAGTGTTGAAGTGAATCAATATTGAGAGAGGAAAAAACATCCATGACATTGTATTATCCCTTTCTGCATGACTTTCTCCCTTCAGCTATGATTTTTCTTCTATTCCCATCATACCCCATAGGTACTGATATGGGTATATCAATACAATCTAACAACTTTTTACTTTCAGATGACTTGTTAACATAGGGGTGTACTTAAAAACTTTTAATTTGTTCCAAATTTTCAGTGTTCAATGATAATGGAAGGAATTTAATGTCTTCTGGGGAAAACTATGCTATGCTCCATATATATCAAGGGAACATTTCTGTTTCCTCTAGTGAAGATAAAATATGGGCCTTTATTTTCTTTAGGCTTAGCTAGTTCTAGTTAAATTGCTCTGGTAAGTTTATTTTTATTTTTTAGTTTGAGTTTTTGTTTTGCTGTTTGTGTTTGAGTCATATCCATTTCTGAAATGTTCTGTTGTGTTGCAGAAGAAGGATCCAGTGAGTGTGTAGATCGCCCTCCCTGTACCACAAAAGACTACTTCCAGATCCATACTCCATGTGATGAAGAAGGAAAGGTATCAGCAGTGTTCAAACACCATCCCATATTTACCCAACTCTCTTTCCAGTTTGAGCACACTCTAACATGTTCATGAAAGAGATTGATATCAAATATGTATAAGTAGTACATAGGAAATCTGAGATTGAAACTTGTGCTCCTGACTTTGACTTTCAAATCTACTACTTTTTAGTGGATAAATTATTTGATGTCTAACTCATTTTTTTTCATATTTAAATTGTGTTGATATTGCTACCCACTTCATAAGGCTGCTAGGAATATTCATGAAATACTCAAACTAAATTTCCTACCCTGGCATATAGTAAGTACCCCATAAATTACTGCTGTTTTTTAACACTTATATTTTTTTCAGGACAAGCATAACTTTAAAATGTGTATTGCAACTCATAGGATGAAAATATAACTTCTATTTAATTATTTTGTTACTCAGTAGGTTTTTATCAATAAAAGCTGTTTAGCCATAGGCTAATTCAGTTATGGCAGAATACTGTGTAATTGCATTTAGAAAATACAAAGTAATTAAATTACCATATAAATGACATTTAGCCACAGGAAAAAATGCACACAAGAAATCTCTAATTGACCCATCATTCTCTTAATTAAAGAATTAACCTATACCAGCTTATGTCAGTGAAGAGAACCTGAGATTAATGTCACTGCTATGCCCTGTTCCTCATGTATGTGTACACCTTTTAAAACACTTTTTTTAACTTAGTTTGGAAAATACATATAGATGTTAGCAAAATTCTTTTCTCAATTTTGCTTCCCTAGGTTCTAATCTGTACTTTTTATTTATATGAATATTTACTCTTACCCTTAGGTCTTTATACTTTTCAAAGGAATATTCCTTTGAATGTTTAACACCAAGTACATTCTAATTTCAATCAAGGGAAACTATCAATGATAAGAAGTACAACTATAGCTTTCTTTTTTTAACTTTTTTCAAAGTATTTTTATTTTGTTAAAAAGTACATGCCTATCTTTTTAAAAAGTCAAGCAGTGCTAAAGGATTTATTTTTAAAAATACCCAGCTGTCCTAGCTTAGCAGCCTTTCTTCATCTTTCCAGAAGCACTTTTAACCTTTAATCTTTTTTCTTCTGATACTTACCTCAGATTTCTAAAAAATATGGATATACACCTTTCTCTTGATTAATCACTTTTAAACATTTTATTATGGGGACAATTTTAAATCGCTCCCCATCCTCCCACTATAATTAAAGCACTATATAATTGTAGTAACATTCAAATTTACTTTTTTAGTATACTATTTAATATTGCATATTCCTGGTTAAAAGTACACCATTTTATTTCCTTCTTGAAGAACTTGTTTTTCTTAAAATTATTATTATCTCATTTTTAAAGTTTCTTTAACTTTCTGGAGTCTCTGGCTAAATCTTCCAATATTTTGCCATAGTTCTACAAAATGCTACTCAACTTGGTTTTCCACATAAACATCTTTCAGGTCATCTATCAACTCAACTATTACCTTCAATAAGAACAGCATCTTGCATTATGAGCTGTTAACTGACAAGGAGTTGTAAAGTAAGATTTCTTATGGCCCAACAATAATGGCCAAATAGGCATACTTCTATATAGAAAATACATAGAAAACAGAGGTGCCATTAAGGTAGGTTGAAAAGTAGTTTGGTATAATATTTTTAGCTAAGCTTCTCTTAGCTAGACTTGCTTTATTAATAAGTAAGGAAAAATAAATTTTAGCTTATTCTGTCTAAGTCATTAATTCAGCATTACTGAGGCTTAAATGAATGAGATCTAACATATGAGAAGATGTTATCTGAACTAACATGAAAATACATTAAAGCCATATTTTGTTAATGACTTTTATTATATCAATTAGTATAATGTCAATAAACAATGTGACAATATCTAGTTAACCTGGGCCTAAATGCAAATAAGACTGTTATTGGCAAGTGGTGTTTTCAGAAGATCTTGGTCCTTGCATTCCAAATGGAAGAATCCAAGTAGAACACATTGATGGGATGAGATAGAATAGCTTTATTGAGAGAAGGGGAGTCACCTGTTCTGCCATGTGAGGGAACAGAAGAAGGGCAGGGGTCTCTTGGTAGGTCGTTTTTATACCACCTTGAACTTGGAGGCAGGGAGACAATATGTCATCACCTGGCTCCTCTCATCTGTGGGCTAGGGGGAGGAGCCTTTGAGTCAGGAAGAGGAACAGTCCTGAACTATCCCTAATCTAGCCTGCCTCAAACTTCCCCTGAGGGACAATATTCCAAAAATTCTTTTTTGGGATTGTTGAAGGGGGGGAGGTGGTCTATCTTTGGTTGCTGCTTCAAGCTGACAAGGGGCTGTAGACCCTACCTATCAAGAATAGTGCCCCATTCCTATTGCTGCCCCTGGGGACTTGAACAGTGACTTTTGTTGTCTGAATCTTTATCCAGACTGATCAAGATTGCTCATGGGCCTCTTGTCCACCTCTGGAAGTTGACCACCCTGTTGTGTCATGGTTTGGCTCCTAGAGGCCTTTATTCTGGAAGAGATAAGTCCAATTAGCAAGTCTAAGAGGCATGACCCAAGTGCAAACACTGGCAGAAGAACCATAAGGGCTCTGTCAGGTGCCTTACCCAGGGGGACTGATCCCAGGTCTCAAGTAATACTTTTTCAGAAATCTAGGGATTGTTGTCAGATTTGGGAAGTTTCTTTGACTGTTAGAAGATCTAGTTTTCTTTTATTTTGAAAAGTGACAACTGTTAAGAGAGTTTATCCACTTTTGTAATGGCTATGGCATTTAGTAATTTTTTTTTGGTTACTAGTAAAGTTTTCAGATAACATTTGGTAATAGAGAGGGATTTAGACTTATTTTTTTGGTGTCTGTTTTGGTAGTTGTTTTAGGCCCAATTAAAAGGGAGGTAAGTTGAATGGCCCTCTTGGTTTGAATGGCTATTGTAATTGGGGCAGTAAAGAACTGATGGCTTAGGGCAATGTCCTTATCTTGAGCTGTGCATACCAGAGTGTATGTGTCAGTCCATTTAGGGAGTATACATTGATAGAAACTGGTTTTGCACAAAGGAAACACTTCCTGTGGTTTCCAGTGGATGTTGGATTTTACAGAAAGCATATAGGTGAATCCATTATTTTTATTTGCCAGTTTGGATAAGGTTTTGGCCAATATGCCAAACCTTAATCAGAGGTTGGGGCATGAGACTTGGGGTAGTTAGCAGATGGGTGCAATTTGCTGAATCCTCTAGGGGCTGTCAGTCCCAGGAGGAGAATAAGGCAAAATGCCCCAAAGAAGCATCCCAAGGTTCTGAAGTAACAGAATGGTGGCACTTGGGAGATGGGGCTGAGAGAGGTTAAAGTATAGCCACACAATCCATATTAGAATTTATACTTATTTAAGTTGAAGTCTTTTGGTTCCTCTGGAAGATGAGGTTTACAATACTTACCAGCTGATTTTTGTTGGTTAAGGGTCCCAGATTTAGCTTCTGAAGCTTTCATTTAATGTCTGAAACAGATTGATTTACAAAACTGTGATTTAGGAGGGCAGCCCCTTAAAGATACTCAGGATCAAGGGTAGTATATTTTCTAAAGGCTTCCTCTAGTTTATCATAAAAGTGGTTCTCCTTTTGCTTTTGGATGATTCCTTTGACCTTGTTATAATTTACAGGCTTTGTGGCTCCTGGTTTCATTCCACAAAAGATGGCCTCCAACAGATGGGCCCTCCTCTGCATTCCTCCTGGGGTGTTATAATCCCAGTGACGCTCAGTTGTTGGGACAGTGACATCCTCTGGATGTCAGCCTATAGGATCCCTAGTAAAGGCCTCATCTGCCTCCCAATGAACAGTGGTGAGGATTTTTTTCTCCTTTTCTGTAGGAGTGCAGCAATTGGCCAGGAAGAACTGAATGTCCCTCCAACAGAGATCAAACCCTAATGCCAGGGTCTGAAACCCAGACCCTGGGTTTCATAAATTTATCTGGGTTCTCAGTATACCTTCCCAACTCCCCAACTTTCCCCTATACTGTGGGATATCATTTACAGTGAAGGGCACGTGAACATGAATCAATCCCTTGAGCTCTGACACTTCTTGCAATGGTAGCACTTTTGAGAAATCTCTGAGTAAGATGTCCCATTTTGAGTGTGTGGCAGACTCATTGGCAGTGGGGGTACTGGGGGAGGAGTTGGAGGAGGAGTTTGGGGTGGAGGTGATGTAGGCTTGTCATCAGGAGCATAAGGGAGAGGCAATGGAGATTCTCTTTGTGAGACATGTAATGCTCCTTGTAGCAGAGGATCATCAAGGATATCTGTATCTCTTTCCTTAAGTTCTTGTTGGGGTCTGGCAAACCCCTTATAGAGGGTTGGGTTTTGATATATGGCTATAAAGGCTTGCATGTATGGTATCTCTGACCATCTCTCTCATTTTTTACAATAGCGATCTAGCTGTAAGATGGTGTCATAATCAAGACTCATTTTTACACCACCTTTTAGTCCCCAGATGATATTGGGGCCAAACTTTATTACAGTAATGAATCAAATGTTCCTGTTTTAGGTTAGCAGGGTCAAAGCATTCCCAGTATTTAAGGATACAGCCAAATGGGGAATCTGTTGGAACTGAGTTGGGTTCCCCCAGGTCAGCCTGTGGAGAGAGAGAGGGAACTGGGCAGGAGGAAATTTATTCTTTAGGAGAAAGAAAAACTAGAGCTTCTAAGATCCATGGAGCATCCCCCTTGTATCTAGGAAGCCTCAGTACAGGTCCCTCTCACCTGTTTCTGTCAGATGTCTCTGGAGCAAGTGACTGGCAGGGTACCCTGTCTTGCAAGTCAACTGTTTTCCTAAGGGTCCGTCTCTCCACCCCTGCACAAGGGTACCTGAAATCTAGCCCAATTATTCGAATGAGGAGAAAACAAAGCTCAGATAAGTACACCAGAAAATGGAAATACAGTAGGGTGGGATTCAAACCCATGGCCTTACTTCTGTTAGGCATGTGTCCCATTGTTAGATTTCCATTCCTAGAGAAAAGA